AAAAAAAAAAGTATATTTCTGCCAAAAAACTCAGCAATTTTAAGATAATCTCAGAAGTTTTCTAGAAAAAAAACAAAAAAAACAAACATTGACATATTTGAATCTGAAAACTCAAAAATTTGCTTGGGAAAAACCCCCTCAAATTTTGAGATTTATCTGAAAACTCTGGAAAATTTTTGAAACTAAGAAATTTCCATGTCATTTCTAGAAAATATTAACTTTATCTACAGTTGCCTTAATACGCCGCACTAGAATGCGTATTAACATGTTTATAATAATATGCTGGATTAGGATATTTTCGCAGCCTTTTAGATTTCTCTGAATTTTGGTAAGAAATTACATTTTGTCTGATGAAGACATTGAAACTGCTGCTTGTAAAAATTAGTCAAAAAGCTATTAATTTATCCTCATTTGGAAAAAAATGACAACAACGTGCACATGTTAGGAAGGCTAAATAAAAAAAAAATGATGTAGAAGTGGATCTAAGGATATTTGAGGATAATAAACACAGACTGATGCTGCTGGTTACCTTGAGTAAACTAAGGAACTCTATAGAAAGCACTTGTGGGATGGAGGGTAATTTTCCCCGTCTGATTTCATGCCACTTTTCCCCGTTGGTGGGTAAAGGCTCGGCTCCCGAGGTGCTGACTACCGTCAGAGCCAGAGCAAAGACATCCGCCTTCGTTAAGTTACTGTAGTCCTACAGAGAAACACAGAGCAGGTTTGAACATGGACTGCCTGGAAAATTAGACCTTTTTTTATTTATGTTTCCAAGTCAGAATAAATACCTCTTGCAGAACTTCGTTGGCCAGATATCTGCTGTCCCCCTCTTCCACCTGTGGATTGTTCACCCGGGTCACATGACCAAGGTCACCTGAAAGGACAGCAAAATAAATAAATAAAAGAAAAGCTGAATATTCAGGGTTCATCCACTTTTCCTTACAGTAAATTTCAGGCACTTTCACGATAGGTTTTCAAACTTTTCTCATTTTACTTTTGAGAAAAAAATACAAATAGTTAAAAAAAAAACTTAAATTCATATAATTATGAATTTGAATTATATCAATATCATATAATTCACTATTATATGATATTCAGTACTGTTAATAATCAAATAGTCACCTTCTTCTGGCCTAGGGTATTTTTTGCCAAAAGCAATTTAAGTATTGTGATAATCTGCATAGCGGGAGCAAAGCAAGATAAAATATAACAAAATGTTATGTTTTGAAAATCTTCTCACACACACCATACACACCCGAGTAATAAAATACAAATTCAACAAAACTCTCAATTTCAATAACCAACATAAAGATGAATAATAAATATTCATCACACTAAACAGATCAGTTTGTGTAAAGGTAAACAACCTTCCTGTTCAAATTAAACTATCAAACTCAAAATAAATAAATCAATTCACTTTCTGTAAGGAGTCTTTGCTCCTAAAAGTTTATTACAGCTTTATTGCAAAACTGTACAGACAGAATATAAAGAACCTGAAAACATTTTATTGAAATCCAAGCATTTTTAAGAATTTCAGGAAATCCCTGAATATTACAAAGAAGATTTAGTTGACTGGGTCAAACGTTGAGCAGCTTACCGATTTTGTAGACGACGCTGGTGGTGAGTCCATCGTCCTCGTCGGACTCGTCACAGCTCGCTACGGATTTACGGGAAATGAAGATGTTGCCTGGAACAAAGAGGGAAACATCAGTTATCAGCAACGGGATCATGTCCACAAGTTACAGTGGATTTTTTTAAATCCACTGTAACTGGATTACAGTTACAAGTTTTTTGTTTATTTTAAACAAAAAGCTGTGTTAAGATATTAAGACTAGGGATGCACCGATCCACTTTTTTCACTTCCAGTACCGATATCTGAAAAAGTTTCTTCTTCCATTTTTTTTTAAACAGACATATTGTGTAAAATTAGGTCTATCAAAAATAAATTTTGCAGGGCTATAAATTATCCCACAAGTTATTGTGATAAAACAATTGTATTGTTATTTTGAAGCCATTATAATGGTCATGGCATAATGATACATAATGAAACTTTAAATAACACTGCAACTGGAAGACATTTTAAATATCCAAAATAAATTAACAACATGAATTATGAAATCTTTAAACAAAACCGTACTTCAAAACAAAGATATAGCTGAGACCAAAACACCAAACTGAAGACTTATCATCCAGTTTTTGGTAGAAAGAGAGAAAAGAGAAAAATGATATATTATGCAAATTTAAGTTATTGAGTTTGTTTCAATTTATCATGCGATTAATTGATTTATTGTGACAGGCCTGTTTTAAACAGAGAAATTGTTAAATGCATCAGACCTTCTTTCAAATGGTTCAAAAAGTGCAATTAATTATTCTAAATACAATGTAAAATAAATAAAGCATAGAATTAGACTCAATAGATCTGCCCTTATGGATCAGGCGCATTGTCACTGATAACACAGCGTTTGGACTCACTGGGCTTGATGTCCATGTGCACCAGAGACATGGAGTGGATGTACTTGAGACCCCGGGAGACCTGCAGCAGCAGGTCCTTCAGCTCCAGCTCCGACAGGTAGCTGAGCCGCCTGTAGTTGTCGGCGATGACGTCGGACAGGGTGCCGCCGTTGCAGTACTCGTTCTGGATCAGCATGTGGTCATCCTCGGCCCAGGCTGAGTAGTAGCGCACCACGTGGGGGTGCTGGCCCAGCACGGCGTGGGCGTAAACCTCCCGCAGTGCATTCTGTCTGTGAGGGAAGAATAGTTTTTTTTTGTTTGTTTTTTTAAATGAGAAAACGCATCGTTCAGCACACTTGCATCTTCCACTTCTACTCAACTTACTCATCTACCGATCCTGCCAGGGGCTTCTTGGACCTCTTGATAGCGTAGATGCAGCCGTCCAACCTTTTCACGCACTTGAACACGGCACCAAACTCCCCGGAGCCGATTTTCTCCAGCTCCAGGAACTCTGAGGCGTAGCGGGACATCATGTTGCTCTCCATCATAGTGATCCTCTGCAGAGAGAACGGCATGTGTAAGTAGGGTGGAACGCATCAAACACACGGACACAGATCTACTTCGCATTCACACGAAAAGCAAACACAGTTCCAGGTCATTTGCATATGAACTGCAGCCGTTTGTGCTACAGATAAATGCTTATTGTGCAATACAAACACCACGTACAGTACAGTTTGTTACATCGTTCTACCCGCTGGGCTCCTGCATAATTAGCATGTTTAAAATTCCATGTTTCCCACAGTTAAAACAAATGAGAACAAATTAAATTAATGAGATTGAAAGGTGGTTGGATTCAAGGGCGAGAAGGACGAATGACCAGAAAAACTGAAGGAAGTAGTAACATGATAACGAAAACCTGGGTTCCTGCAGGCTTCATCAACTCAGATTTAAGACTTTTTAAGACCAATATGAAGTAAATTTAAAACTTGTATTGTGGCAGAAACATACAAAAGAAAAATCACAAATCATGTAGGTTAGTAAAAGAAGTTTGCCAATGGCTAATACAAATATCTCCCGGCCAACTGAAGATAAATTTGCACTCACTAACAACTGACACGAATAAAATAGCCATTTGCCAGCTAATATATCCTTGCTGGGTGTATTAGCAGTTAGCCAACCGCCTCTAGTCACACAACGCAATAAAGATGTCTGCACATGACTCAAAGTTTTGGTAACAGTAAGGTCCTGGGAGAAAAAGGAAATTACATAAAACGTATGAGATTAAATGTAAGACCTGTGGTGAACGTGTTTGAGGTCAACCTTTTTCCTTCAAGTCTTTTTAATGCTTTGATTTTAAATACAATGTCTTATTTAAAGAGTCAGTGCAACTATTTAAAGATGGACAGACACCATGGCTTTTACAAGGGCTAAAATTCATTTATTATTATTCAGGCTTGGAAAACATTCTGATCAAATGCCATACATCTATAGATTGCACAGAAACGGTGTAATAGCACTGAAATACATTTAAAAGCATTTTATACTGCATTAGGAAAACGCCTTTGAATGTCAGGTTCAATTTGAACTTATTCCCTGGTTCAAATAAATTATTAATGCATCCTAAAAAAAATAATAATAAAAAAAGATCTATAACCAAATTAATAGATAAAAATCTCACCTTTGATGGTGGCAGAATTTCATCTTCTCCTTCGACGTCACTGGCCTCCATGTCTTCCCCACAAGAGCTGCAACAATAAAGATGTTTGTTAGCGTCCTGTCCAGCAGGGGGCAGCACTGAGAACTACACAAACACATGGAGCTCAACCTTAACCATGAGGTCCTTGTTATCGGGCAACTCCCCCTCGACCTAAACAACAACTTTAACATTACAGGTGTAAACTATATTAAAGAATAACAGGAAAGGTCACTGAATCATAATTCCTCTCTGCAATAATAGGCCTTTGTGTTTATGTTAAACAGAAGTAAGTCTGCAGAACTATTCCTACAGATGGAAATCAATTTATTTTATTTATTTATTTTTACTTTTTCATGTAACAAACTCCAAAAACTTAAGTAACTTACTCATTCCAATGCGCTCGCTTTCTGTTGTTTCTGTGCTGTGTGGCGGACTGGATTAGCAGGGAGTCGGGAGTGAAGGGGTTAAAGTTGACCAGGGGCATCTGCTGTTTCCTGCCGCTGTCTGTGAAGGACTTTCGTGGAGACTCGACATTCTTGAAGAGAGCAACTCTTCTGCTGGAGGATCCAGGGACGGAGCTCCTGGCTCTGGACAGCAAACTCTTTAAAAAAAATTTTATGTAATTTTTTTTTTTAAAAATGACTGAATGAATGAAATCCAGATTTGTGGGAAAAATATTAAATAAAAAGTCAAATAAACGTGTCAAAAATATTTAAAGTTTGCGTTCTCTTTAACACCAGAACGAGTCTGGGCATAAAAAAAAAACATCCAATCGTGGCGTTGGCTGAACGCAATAAATTATGTAACAGGTAGAGATGTAGAGTAAGTGGGTCAGTGGGTCAGTAACGGATCCTGCAGATAAATCCAAATGATTAAAAAATAATGTGCATCCACTGACCAGGTTCGGATTGTGAAAATAACAATAATAACATAATAAAATAATTAATGTGTTTTTTTTTTCTTAAAGAGCAGAAAGGAGATATTGTTCATGTAAAATATATATATAGATATATATAGAACGTTTTTTTTATTTTTTTTTACTAAAATTAAAAGAAAAAAGAAAAAAGTCGGTTAATTCTAACCTTTGGTGTATGTGGTGTGTCGAAGAGCCGAAGTTTTCTGAAGGTTTTATGCGGAGGTGTGTCGGGGCAGTCCGGTATCGGAGAGCTGGAGCCCTCCCCGTCGTCCTGGATGTAGCTCCGCTCCGGCGACCCTCCGTACATCCGCGACACTTTCTTCGGCGACGGTGAACAGTTGGCGAAAATAACGCTACTGGGGGACTGCAGCAGGGACGGTGAATCAAAGCCTTCCTCGTCCCACAGCTCCACGTCGTCGTCTCCGCCGGAGTGGTTCAGGGGGCTGCTGCCGCCCTCTTGTAGCTTGTCCGCGGCGCCCCGTCGCCTCGGTGTCGGGGAGTCCATCTCCGTGAAGCCGGACTCTCCTCCGGTGCTGTTGTTAACATCCTCGACAGGATCGTCTTCTCCGTCGCTGGACGTGAACTGCAGTTTCTGGCGAATCGGTCGGGATTTGGGGGAAGGCGTTCCGAGTCGATGGCGACTGCAGCTCGACATTTCGAGGATTTAAACCCCGGCTTCGTCGAAGAAGGGGGAGGGAGAAAAAAAACAAAAAACACGCGGTTGGTGCTCCCACCGAAGTGGTAGCTTCCTCAAAAACGAGTTAGATTTAATTACCTTTTAAATGGTATTAAGCTCATGAAAACTACTTTTAGCAGTCCAACTTTACAAAAAATACCGTACTTTTAAAGTCCGACACGCCAGTAAGAACTGGGAAAATGGCCTCGTACTTGCTTGAGTCGAATGCAGTAGCAACGTCCTCGGTAGTAATGAATGATAAAAAGAAAAGAAAAATAGAAACAATCCTTCTCCTTCAATAATCTGTCACGCTCTCCTTGATGACAGAAACGCGTCTTTCCGGAGTAGAAACCTTTGCAATGTTTACAAAAGTTTGAGGGAGTCGAAAACTGAGCTCTTCCCATGAAGCGCGTGGCAAAGAACTTCCCGCGACCGTTGATCACGTGTCGCCGAATAGCCAATCACCGCTCGACGTTGAATTTTGAAAGATGGGCGTTCCAGTGTAGTTTTTGGAGGGGTTACGTCGTCCCTGTGGTAGTCCCCTGCGGCGAAAGAATGTGGCGCGAAGGCTTGTGTGCCTTTAGCAGACAGAAGTCATGAGTCACAATGACAATGCCTGCATTATTACTACCCAAAACAAAGAACAGACGGATGAGGAAAAAAAGGTATTTGTATGTATGTATGTGGCAATGTGAGGGCGAAAAAAAAGTGTTCTATCACCTAAAAAAAATGTCACTGTTATTTTGTACAGGACATTGTTTTTAAGTACAACGAAATTTAACTAATCAACAGTTGAAACAATTTTCGTAGGTATAATTAAACATTACTTGTCTTTAAACATTGTATGCACAATTTGACAAGATCAACATGCTACATTAATGCATGGCTCAGAGACCTTGGTTTATAGCTAACCAAACTAACAAAACAGCAAAATTGTGTAATACTTTTACTATGAACTCTTAAATTATTTTTAAATTTAGCATTACCACTTTACAATAAGTCTCCCTGTAAAGATGGCTAATAAATAGTTCATAGACATGTTATTAATTCATCTCTAAACACTATAAATCATTATAATTGTTTATTATGCATCAATTAAGGATGAGAAAGAGAAAAAAATTGTGCAAATAGTGAGTCAAATTTATTCACTTATATATTTTATCTGGTGTTATGCTAAATCTTTTAGACTACCTTATAAGCACAATCAGCCTTTGTAGATGGTAATTTTCTTTAGCACAGTCTCGTTTGCATCAATTAATGCATAATAAACAGTTATTAATGATTTATAAAGTATTTATAGACAAATTGGTAACTATAAACTATTAGCCATCGATAAGGGGAGTCTTATTGATTAGCAAGTGTTATAATAACCTAATAAGTTACATTGGTTTTAGCTGTAGAAAGTGCCATTTTTCTGTTTTAGACTTCAATAGAACATGTCACACATTTTTGTTTCAAACATTTGTGCAAATAGAATCACCACCATGGAAAAGTGATATTTTCAATTTAACATGAATTAATTGCCTTATATGGTAAGCAACTTTACTGTCAACAGGAGGGAGAGGATTGCGACAGAAAATTTACAAAGTGAATCACCTGGTCTCTTTGTGAACGTCGTCCCTTTGTGTACCAGGTGACCTGGTTGTGTGTCGCAAACACACAACCAGGTGTGTTTGCGACACACCTGGTTATGTCACAAACACCTCACACACACGCACGCACACACACACACATACACAGCCTCTTCTCAGATGTTGTGAAGCAAGTTTGTTTGTTTTATCCTTTGTTTGTATCCATCTATCCATTTTCTTCCACTTATCCGGGGTCGGGTCGCAGTGGTAGCAGCTAAAGAAGGGAGGCCCAGACTTCCCTCTCCCCAGCCACTTCTTCCAGCTCTTCCGGGGGAACCCCAAGGTGTTCCCAGGCCAGCCAAGAAACATAGTCCCTCCAGCATGTCCTGGGTCTTCCCTGGGGCCTCCTCCCCGTGGGACATGCCCGGAACACGTCACCAGGGAGACGTCCAGGAGGCATCCTGTCCAGATGCCCGAGCCACCTGAACTGGCTCCTCTTGATGTGAAGGATAAGCGGCTCTACTCTGAGTCAGTGGCTCTACTACGAGTCCATCCCGAATGACTGAGCTTCTCACCCTATCTCTAAGGGAGAGCCCAGCCACCCTATGGAGGAAACCCATTTTGGCCGCTTGTATCCATGATCTCGTTCTTTCGGTCATGACCCAAAGTTCATGACCATAAATGAGGGTTGGAACGTAGATCGACCGGTAAATCTAGAGCTTTGCTTTTTGGCTCAGCTCTCTCTCCATCACGACGGACCGGTACAGCGCCCGCTTCACTGCAGACGCTGCACAAATCTGCCTGTCGATCTCCCGCTCCCTTCTTCCCTCATTTATGTTGTTTGCATCCACAGTCAGCTTTTTGATTTTCTATTAGGTCAGATTCCTTTTTACACTTTGTTGCATAACTTCTAAGACAGAAGTATAAGCCAATCATATCCACGCAATCTTTAATTTGTATTTATTTATTTTTAGAAATAGCATTTTCTGTACACTGCACTGTGCATTCAGCAACATTAGAAAGCATTAATTCCCTCTTTAATTTTTCCGTAAGAGAGACAAAATAGCATAACGCAGCTTCAGTTATCAAAATCCTATTTACACGTAAAAGCAGAGTTCTGTTGTGAAAAAAAGGGGAAGACATGATTTCTCCCAAATATATATACATCTATATGTACCCATGTATATATAGATATATATACATAGTCCATTTGAAATGGTCTTGATCTTCATTCATTGTCCATACGGAGTCGTCAGCCAATCAGTCGTCCAGGCCGGGGGTTTCTCCTTGCTGTATCCTGGAGGCTATTCTAATGGCTTCTTCCAGAGAAGGCTGATCGCTCAGCTACAAGGGAAAAAAAGAAAAAGAAAAAAGGAATAAGTCACTCACTTTAATTAATAACCATTTAACTAATCGCTCCTAAAGATGCATCTTTTACTCCACTGTAAAGCGCAGTCACATGACGAAACTGGCAGACAAAAGGAAGCTGGTTCTAATTAGCATACCCCTAAGGGAACAAGGTGTTAATTAAAGAACAAAAGTTTTCAAAAGAAAACAAGTCATCAGACCTGCCTGCTTTGATCTAAGTCAAGCTGCCACCCCGTGACCTTTAACTAGTTACTTTAACTAGTAACTAGTTACATTTAATTGAGTAACGTTTTAGGGGGGTAAAAGGACTTTAAGGAGTAGTCTTACTGCTTTTTACTTGAGTAATTGTATAATGAAGTATTGCTGCTCTCATTTGAGTAAAATTCCTGAATACACTGGACACAATGAATAACTTCACAGAAAGAAGAACATGGCAGCTCTAGCCAAATGTTCACCAGACAGAGACACACACCTGCTGATTGTGTTAAAGGTTTATATTTAAAAAAAAAAAATGATCTAGAAACATTTTTCTTTTGCCTGACTTTGTTTTGTTGTTTTAGTAATGATGCTATTTATTCAAATTATTTTAATTTTTGTCCTTAAAATACCAGAAAATGTCCAGATAACTTTATATTTTTGTCCGTCTGATGATGTAATTTTAAAATATTAAACGATTGATGTTTTGATCAGGTACTTTATACGCAAGTCGACTTGTTACCAAAAACTGTTTGACTCTTACTTGAGTCACTTCCTGGAAGTCTACTTCTTAATGTTCATATTTTTTTAATTCTCTTTGATAAGAAACAGAGTCCGTCCACTGGGGGGCAGCAGTGAGGTTACACCTCATGCAGAAAACTTGCAACAAATATTTAATGAAGTGAAATCTGAAAAGAATTACAATGCAAGGCTAAAAGAAGTTCTGTCTCAGTGGATTGAGTAAAACCACTGAGTAGTCGTCACAAAATCCATAAAGTAATGTGAACTTTGACCTCTTTTGAATTCTGTGTTGGGTTGAATCTGACTTTTTTTTTTTCTTTCCCCAGACTGGGAACCAAGAGTCTCTCCAGCCTCTGCAAACGGTTTGAATTTGACCAGAAAGTGGCAAATTTGGACAAACTCAGCAATGGCCACTGCAGTCAAGCCGCCATGCTGTTGTCACAATTATCACTGAAGTGCTGGAATGTTTCCTCGACTTTGTCACAATCTCCAGAATGTCCCTGAATATCCGGGATGCTTCTGCAGCCTCGCCATAGGGAAACAAACACTCCACGTTTTCAGAAACTATCACACAAACAAAATATGACATTTTGCATCTTCCTTGATCCGTAGGGCTGAAGTTGATTATGTGATGCTGTCGCCGTTGCAAAATGATATTTTAATCTTTATGTGTGTAGAAAGATAAAAGAAACAGTGTGATCTTTTGTTTCTAGAAATCCATCTGCGTCTCATTACTTTATATCAGGACGAACCAAAAACAGCTGAGTTATTACAGCACTTTTTTTTTTTATATTTAAAATTGTTGGAAAGATTTCAGTTTCCAGATTGACTTTCTTTGCTATGTTGCACATATATATATTTTTAATATAAACAAATAAAATATTTTTTTAGGCTGCTGTTGATACCAACACAATCTGTCATTTCTAACAGGACAAACATGGACACATCTAGTTTATATCTGCCAAATAATGATTTCCATTCTGATTATTAATATTTTTTTAAGAAAAATTTTGTTCACGGACACATCATAACCCATTTTATTAATGCATTTGGTTGTAACTAGTTTTTATTTATTGTTTTTGGATGTTTAGTGTTATTGTGGAGAGTTAAAATATCTTCTAGTTGTTAAGTGTTCAGAAGTGCATAATTGTCTAGGTTATTACCCGGTTAGTTGTCTGGACTAGTGCTGGTTTACCAACCTGAACGGCGATGTGAGTGCCATTGGGCGTGGCCAGTAACGTGACGGGATGGAGATCTTCTTGGTCTTGGTAGTTTGCTTCCTCCACGGTTTGAAATGATGCCATGTCGGGTGTCATGATGGCCACCTGAGGGCGACAAAAACGCGCTTTACTGACGCAGCAGTAAATTATTTCTACAGTCAACACTGCTAGCACAGATGTTACACACAGCAACTCCATTTTTTTTCTTTTGTTTGTTTTCCACATTTTGTCCACATTATAATCACAAATTATCAAATAGTTGTGAATGGGAATCGTCAAACTTTTTTTTTAAGAAATTAAGTTTGAAAACTGACCTGACACTAACATTTAATCCTATTTCTTGAAGATATGTTTAAAAGTAAAGAGTTCAGCCACTGAAAAATGACAGTCTTTGTGAATCATTTCCAGGTGACTCACAAAGAAAAAAAGCAGAGAAACAAACAGACGTCAAAACGTTGGAGCCTCCATATTGTTTACCTGTTCGTCCGAGCCGTCGGTTGCCACCATGGTAACCGCGTGTGCGCCTTGCGTCGCCAGTTCATGCGCTGGGATTGTTATGGTGGTGCCTTCTTGGGTTACCATGGTGATTGTGCCACCCATAGCTTGCAGGTCTGCTTCAGAGATGCTGACCTGATACGAAGCAAAAGACAGAAATCTACAGATTTCAGCAGTTTCAGAACAGATGAAGAGTTGCTGAAACCTTTTACTGGAACTGTGAAAAGTATTCACTTCCCCCTGGATTTTTATATCTGGCAAATAATGATGCTGATGACTCCTTTATTGCTTTGGCAAATAATTCAATCCAAATCCAACAGCATACCTGTTGCGTTCCATCTTCCTGCGTTACCAAGGCGACCTGCGGCTGACCGGACATGTCCGAGGAGTCCACTGGGACCGGTTCCGAGTCGTCTGTGTCCACCACGGCCGGTGTGTAGCTCACGTTTGGGTCGTCGATGGCGTCTGAAACAAGTCAGTTGGTTAATTAATTTCTACCGCCGATGACTAAAATAAATAAATAAATAAAATAAAAGGAAAGGTGCAGCTGTCGACACGGTGACACGGACCTGCCGGTGGCTCGAAGTAGGCCTCCTGCTCCTCCTCGATGGGCTCGGAGTCGTTGTGCGTGGTGCGTTTGTGCATGGCGAGTGTGGAGATCTGCTTGTACGTCTTCCCACAGTGGTTGCAGTTGTAGGGCTTGCAGGGCGTGTGAACCACATGATGCTTGTACAGGCTGGAGTATTCGGTGAAACGCTTTTCACACCCAGGCACTGTGCAAACGTACGGTTTCTCTCCTGGAGAACAAAGCAAGATGGTCAGCGGGAATGTTTTAGATCATGAATTGGAACATGCAGGTCCACCTGTGTGTGTGTGTGTGTGTGTGTGTGTGTGGACACACACCTGTATGGATCCTCATGTGGTTCTTGTAGTTGGTGGCGCTGGCGAAGGAGCGGCCGCAGCTGGGCTCGGAGCAGTAGTACGGCCGCTCCCCCGTGTGCGTCCGGATGTGAACTTTGCGGATGTTGGACGTGGTGAAGGAGCGGCCGCAGCCCTCCACCGGGCACTTGAAGGGCTTCTCCCCTGGAAACCACAGAAGAAGAAAGAGATAACCGTTACGTGACGAGTTACGTCTCCGTTCTGTACCAAAGGCTTCTAAACCTGGAAGAAAGAAGCCTTGAAGGAAGTAGAAACTTATATTAAAAAAAAAAAGTTTTTATTAGTCCAACATTTCTGGCTGCTGAAAGCTTTTTATATTTCAAAATGGCCACGGATTATGAGGCACCATTTGTATACGAGTAAGAGTTATTTAGTCCGTGGTAAAAGAAAGAAAAAGGGGTTCAGTTTTCAAAATACATTTTCACCAGAGGGCTCATTCATTTATAAACATCACAGTTTCAAATGAAATGTTTAGCCAGTAAGCTAAATATTTAATTTCAAAGTATTTAAGTATTTTGTTAATATACATTTATTTTTTAAAAGTGCAACTTTGTGAAGGAAACCCTGCAGCACAGAGGCATCAGGTTCATCACAGAGGCCATGTGTTCTCCCTCCAGCATGCTGAGTGCTGTGGAACATTAACAAACCCCTCATGCTGTTCCATCCAGTCTTTGCTGGTCTTGCTATTTTTAAAAAAGCCGTTGTATGTGACCAGAGGCTGTCAGTTCAGGATAAAATGTGATTGTTCGTATCACACACAATCCTCTGAAAGGATTCTTTGTTGTGAAGGCTGGAAGGCAGAAGCATCAGTTATCAGAAGTTAATTTAATTCCCTCCAAAAGAAACTGAGCAAATCTGAAGTAGACGATTTTGACCTCGTCCGGATGTCCTGGTGCGCTGTTCAGCCAGCTAGAAGCTAATGAAAAAGTACCTGATTTTTATGTTTCTGATCAGTGAACCCACCGATAACAACACTCTTGGTGGCAGATACGGTTACAGAGTGAAGAAAACTCAAAAGTTCCTTCCAGATTACCGCTTCGTCCCGTGACGTACATGTGCTTTTTTACACCTGAAAGATTCTGACTGATTGATCCACTCGCAGTCTCAACCCTCCACTCTTCTTCTGATGAGGTGTTACGAAGCAAAGATGGCGGCCGCAGCACAGCGATGGTGGAGGGATTGCATCACCCTTCAGTATCAATGCTGATCAGCCGAATCTGACACAGATAACTTGCCGAGGACTGGGAACAATGACTGTCCTTGTATTTAAAGGAGCATGCATAAACAGATTATCCTTGAGGTGAAATCCCTCACAGGGGAAGAGAAGCTGCGAGTCCCTTTGATTCAGCAAACCATTACCTGAATGCTAACATGGTCTTGTGTGATCCCTAAGGGTCATTCTGGGTAAATACAACCTAAACAAACCCTTGTGTCTCTCACTAGGAGGAGGAGAAATGACTTATGGTCTTTCACCAAAGACAAAAGAGAAATCCTACAATGGCTAAAATCTGACGCCAGTGCATTTTAGTTTACATTTCGTAAAGAGGGAAGCTGATCTCAGTGTCTTCTTCTGAGGTTTTCATGGCGTTTCCTTCAGTGGTTTGAACAGTAACAAAATAGATCAGGCTCAGTTTGTTGTATTCTACTGGATCTGCCTGAAGCAATTTCACTGCAACGACAGAGACACTGAGCCTGAACTGACACGCATCTGCTGCGTTTAACCCATTTGCAGTAAGATAACTGGTGCTCCATCCTAGTAGACCTAACTGACAATATTTTCTGCTAAAACTTTAAATATGAGCTACTTTTACACTTATTTTAAAATAGTAAAACCCTATACCAAAGCTGTTTTATGTTGCAGATAAATAACTGTCAGGTCACTGCAGGAAGGCTAGAAACAAATATTTCAGATGGAACAAAATTTTGTGTTGGCAGGTCAAACATTTCAATAACCAGAGATCAGAAAATGACATAAATTATATTAAAATAAGAATTATTATTATTATTATTATTATTATTCTTGTTCTATGAGGTTCTGATTCTGTACCTGTGTGGGTCCTTGTGTGTTTCTGAAGGTCTCCGGAGGTTTTAAAGGACTTGCAGCAGTTCATCTCCTGACATCTGTATGGCTTTTCCCCTGTATGCGTCCGCGAGTGACTCTTCAGTCCGTAACCTTAAATTTCCACAGAGACAGTTAGGGAAGTTTTTTTTCCAGTGAATTCTTCATCTGTTTGCAACAGCTGAAAAACACTCCATTACAAATGCTTAGTTCATATTGCAATACACAAAACTAAAACAAACATTGATAAATTAAAAAATAAATATAAAATAAATCAAAGAGAATGTAAAAAAGTAATAAAATTTAATCAACCACCTGTTGCAAACTTCTTTCCGCAGCCCCGATATTCGCAGACGTAAGGTTTATCACCAGTGTGCGAGCGCTCGTGGACCTGCAGGATGTCGACAGAAAACTCTTTAAAACAAAATGGCTGACAGACAAATGCACTTTTCCACAACATGCTGCAAGAATATAGCCTTTTAAAATTGTAACATCTAGAAGCGAGAAAATTTTTTGGTATTAAAGTTAATTTGTATCCAGTGAAACGCAGGAGTGAAGCGAACCTTGAGGTGGTGGGCGGTGGTGTAGAGCTTTCCACAGCCTTCGTATTCGCAGCGGAAAGATTTTTCTCCGACGTTTGTTACTCTTGGTTGCCTGTTGTCTTGACCCTGCAGCACAATCTGAAGACGTGACGCGCAAATCAGAATGGAAATCGAACTTCAACCAAGAGGTGAACAGAAAGAAAAACACAAAGTTACTCTACCCTCATGTGGACACCGCTGTCTGTTTCCACTCTGCCAAACGACCCCAAGGGGTTTTCCACGTTCTCCACCTAAAGGAGAACAACAGGACATTCACATATGTTTCATGCTTTTTCTTTAAATACATAAACGCATAGAAAGTTAACGGAAGGAAACAACGCAGAGAAAGAATGCTGCGTTAGGTAAACTGCAGCCACAGCAGTAGCATGAGACGGTCCGTCACCTTGGTGCCGTAGTGTTCGAGCACACTGATGGTTTCTGGGTCGATGGCCGTGGCATCGGCCTGCAGGTCTGCGATGGTGCCGTCAGCCTGGATGGCCAGGATGGTGTTGGGCTGAGGCATGTGCACCGTGTGCTGGATGTAGGCGGTGCTTCCATCCTCTAGCTGGACCTCCTGCAAGCCACTCTGGTCGTACGTTTCTACACAGAGACAGGAGGCAGGGTAGGATAAACACCAGTTTTCCAGTACTGGGTACCACCAACTAAAAAGTTAGCTGTGCTAACCCTTAAGCATTAATCATTAACGTTAGCTGAATACTAAAGCAAAAGACCAACACGGTACATACCAGAAAATAATGTTAAAGAGCAACACCAACACAGTATTTAATCAAGCTAATGCTTAAGCTCAATACCAACACAGTATTTGGATGCCTGAGAAAATAAACTTAGGGTAAGCTAACTGTGCTAAACTTTTTCAAAGTTAGCAAAAGGGCTTAGGTGCTACATAACAAATTAGCTCCACTATTAGCATGTTAGCAGAAGTGTGCCCTCCACTGTACAACAAAATATCTCAGAAGCAGTTAAGGTTGTTGAGACTCTTTCCCTGTCATAGAAGCCCTGGTTCTAAGGTACCAGATGACTGAACACTCTTGCTACAACTCATCCCAGGAAGAAAACTGCTGTTTTTCAAGCTTTCTACTGATGTCAACACAAAGAGCAGTGTTTACCTTTGGGTGTGTGAATGTAGGCAGTTGTTCCATCTTCTAACTGGACAGCCTGGCCGTCTTCCAGCTGTAAACTCTCTCCTCCTACAGCACACATTTAGACAACCGTCACTTCCACCATTTTAGTGATTCCATTGTTGCACAGCAGACACACTACTACATGTCTACTACACACCAAAACAACATCAACCTTATATAATAAAGCACAGTAGTGAACTATCCATTCAGAAGTCAGGGTTTATACTGTACCTGTTTTAGGCATGGACACATGGTGGACGTAGGCAGCTGAGCCGTCCTCCAGCTGGATCACCTGACCGTCCATAATCTGTCCATCAGAGAAGGATGCTTTGGACTCATGCTGGATGTACGCAGTGGAACCGTCTGCAAGAGTGACAGCCTGCAGGCTCACTGTGTCCATGTTCTCCATCTGATCACCATCTGGGAAGTTAGTTTGAAAGTTAAGAGTTGTCTTTGTCTTCTACGATGTAAATGGACAATCTTCTGTTCTTATAGCTTCTGGAAATGTTTTTAGAGGGTTTCCTTTACTGTTATTATAGCAGTTTATGGTACAAGCATCAACCTACAAACAGTCTGGGAGCTCACCTGCCACTGTCACAGCCTCCGTCAGACAGAGCGTGACCGGCTGCCCGTCTGCATCGTGAAACTCGGACATTCCCTGGGAGTCCCGGTTGATCTGGGCCAAGAGCATGCTGCAGCTGGTGGGGCGAAAAACGGAGACGATTTAACCCCGGCGCCCACAAGTCAGCAAACACCAGCAATGAAACTCCACCAGAAATCTGAGCAAGCGAGCCGTCTTTAAAACCTCAGTTTATCACATATCAGCAATATTTGGATCGTGAAATATAAAACTAAATTAGTCTGGCCTGGTTTATGTAGTTTGACGTATGTGTCGGAGCCAATTCAGACATATTCATCTGCAGAGTTTAAAGACGCAGTAAGGTTGGGCAACAGTACTTAATAATGAAATCTCCTGAATTGTTTTTTTTTTTTTCTCGTGTTCCTGGGAACAAAGGCATCAGAAGATCTCACTTAGATAAACAAACCATCTGATCAGTAAACCACAACAACACGACTCACTTCCTGAGAGCTTCCAGGAAGATCAACCTGCCACATCTGCTGGTGACCTTCCATTGCTGCTCCACTCAGTATTTTTTATACAATTAAAAATATTTATTCCAAAGTATTTTTCTCGTCCAGTCTGTACGTGGTATTCATTTTATGTTTACAGTTATCTTCCTGTTCACTAAATATGTTGGCATATTAAAATATAGGCTGTGTGAGATGGATATGCATGTGATATTTCATATTTTTTAGATATTATGAGAGCTGTTTTTCTTTCTTTTAAGCTAGTGCAATGAACATTTTGTTGTACACCTAGACAACAATTAAGAGGAATCTTGAATCTTTTTTATTACCTATTTCTGTTATAAATGTCTAAAAACACCCCTATCCTTTACCCATCTGGTTAGCGCATTGCTTTTCATGCCGAATAATTCTAACAAACCTCTAAGACCTTCACAGAACAACTGTATTTGTTTAAATGTATTAGTGCTTAAATTAAACACGCATGGATTATATTCCTGGGGGTATCAAAGAACAGACAGCTGAAAACTAATAAACATCACTTGTTAAGATCTTTATTTAAAAAAAAATAAAATAAAACTAAAGGATATTAAAGGACTATAGGTAATTTATGCTGTACTATTTCATAAGTCACATTGAGGCTGTTATGTGCCAAAATGTTAAGTTCAAGGAGTATGAGTATTTATTTGTTATGCACAAATTAAATGACTGATTTCTATGTCAGGGAATATGTTATTACAATTCTTTTAAATTAAAAATTTGCTGTCAGCAAACGTTACTCAACAGTGTTTGGCATTTAATTAACTTTTACCAACACTTAAGACATTCAACAAGGCTTTGCGTCACAAAACAAGAACGTAAATAGCCATGGGCTCGCTTCTGTTTTTTATTCTGGGAAAAAATGACACCTTCGTGCAGTGAGGGAATGGTTCTTGAGAAACTAACAATGGGAAACGTAGCTGCTAAAAGTAACAGAACCTGGGACAAGTGGGGGGAAATGTAACGGGGCCACATAATCAGCCAGTTACCCCTGTTGTGTTTTTGGCGCTTGTTGGTTTACAGCTCTTTCAGCTGGTTAGCTTCAGCTATGACTTGCATTATTTTCCCCTTTTAATTACACATTACACAAAACAAAATGTTAGAATGAGTCTACTTAGGGAGATGTCGGTCGAATACTAAAAGTGGCCAACTATGCTAAAAATTCAAACACTTCCCTGCTCCACCCGTAGGACCGATATGTCAAACGAGGTAAGCTAACTAGTTAGCTGTCGAGCTAACGACGCAGCTAAGTACGCCAAGCGCTGCTGACACGACTTTTTTCTAGCGGCGGAGAGCAAATGTTTCCTGAAAGCTGTGGTCGATACGATCGCTTTTGTTATTCTGAGCTACTTCGTGATGTCTAAACAGACAATGTGTGGCAGATAGAGCCTAGCTAGCTCTCCCTAATAAGCTTCCAGCCTAGTTTAACCAACTAGCTACAGAGACGGAAACAAGACCCAGGAATCCATGAGCTAATTAATGATATAAGCATTTTTGCTCGCTACATTTCTATTCGTTTTTTTCCATTTCAAAGTATTTCTCCCAATTCCTGTCGACTCCCATCCCACAGCCTGTCACTCCCACTAGCAACAGCGATGGCTGTGGGAATAATGCACACTGGGTAAAAACCAATTTATATACTAACCTCTGAAAATTTCCAACAATTCCTCCTGTTCGACCACCATGCAACAGTGCAGGAAACGACCAGCGGCGTTCACAAACCAGGAACATGTATGACCCATTGTTGTCCCGCCTATTCTTCTACCATGGGATATGATTGGTTATTTGTTTGTGAAGTAAATTCCTATTGGTCCTACAAGGCGCCGCTCAGCCTCGGGAGTAGTCATTCAGCCTCCCGGGCCCCTAGCAGGCGCCATTCCGCGCCGGTTTTCGTATTGTCTCAAGCTTTCCAGTTTCACTGCGCCCTGCCGTCGCGGAAAATAAATATTTAAGCTTTCAAACGAGATTACGGAAAGCCAACTCTGTGGATTCCTAGCTACGGTGCGCCGCAAACTGCACTTAAAATGCTGCTTTTGCCGCATAAACATGGACGTGTGCGCAAGTTTATCGGCATCCATGTTGAAAACAAGGTCGTGTGGGAAAAAAAGGGGGAATGTGGGCAATGCAGTGAAAAGAGACTCAGTGGAATAATATGTCCATGGATTTGAAACACGGCAATATAGAGAAAAGATACATTACATGAACGGTAACAGGGATTTAAACAACTAAAGCACCCATAAACTGTGGTCAAGCAAGAGTAGAACTACTTCAACAATTTCATTTTTCTCAAGTAAAAGTAGAAATTTTGCAGAACATCTGTTTTAATATTTAAAAATAATGCCATCAGAAAGGCCAAAATGCAGATTTCTGCCCAGGGCCCTCTTGAAAATGAGATCTAGACCTCAATGGGGTTTTACCTTGTTAAATAAAGGAAATAATAAATCATTTTTAAAGAGTATGGTAATCTTAAGACTAAAGTAAAAAAAAAAAAAAATAAAGAAATTCAAAGAAATACCATAACTACAAAATAACGAACCAAATATTAGATCATATGTATGTTAGAACAGGATAAAATACTACCAGTGAAAATATTTTCTTGTAATGCCCTTCACAATCAACAACAGCTGCAATAAAGTGCTGTACAGATAAAATGCAAACATTTAAAATATGGATGGAACAAAGAATTGACTCAAAAAAAAACAAAAGATCAAGAAAAAGCTAAAACAGAAGTAAAACTAAAAGTCTCAAGGTGTTTCAAGAGCCATAAAAATGCAGTTTAAAGAGGGTTTTAAAAGTGAACGATAAAGAGGCACTTCTTTAATGCAATGGGAAATTGTTGAGAAATTTGGGAACTATAGCAACTGGAAACTATCTGGTTTAAGTGACAATGGGTGCAATATCAGTGGATGGCTTACATGAAAAACACCATCACGTCTGTTGTTTTGTCATTGAAATGTTCTTAAATTTCAATGACAAAACAACAGACGTTTTAAAGCCTAGATGGCCGTAAGCTTCTTAGCTTACGGCCATCCAGGCTTTAATGTCTTCTAGACACAACTGTAGTGGCTTAATCAAAAAGGGCTTCTGTTTTTTTTTTTTAGCAGGATGTATATCTGACTGTCATCAGCATAGCAATGAAAGTAGATCCCATGTTTTCTAAGTATTGAAGTCAAAGGAAGCAAATAAAGGGAAAAGAACAGGGGACTAAGGACTGAACCCTGTGGAACTCCATAAAATAGAAGAGCAGAGGAGGATTTAAAATTAGCTCTTCTTAAAGACAGTTCTGTCTAACAGATAAAACCTAAACCATTTTAATGATGTACCACTGAAAACCAGTTGGAGCTGTAAACTATTTAATAAAATATCGTTATCCACTGTGTCAAAATCAGCAGACTAGCCAAGTAGAATAAGAACAACATATTCACCAGAAACCTTTGCTATGAACATGTCACAAAAACTCTTACTAAAGCAGACTCTGAGTTTTAAACTACACTAAAAAAACCCATGATGATTTGGTCTTCTAAAAAGGGTTTGACTGAGAAAGTACAGCTTTTTTTGCATGTTAGAAATAAAAGGCAACTTCAAGATAGTTTGTTCCAGAATTGTGGTTAAAACATATTTGTTCTTAATTTGGTGAACTTACACTGATTAGAATACCTGAAAATGTTACTCCAGGAAGAGTCGTGATACTTCATAAAGTAGGAAATATTACAAAAGCGCTCCTCTGTTAACCCTTTAGCAACATCTTTACACTGAGAAGTAGCTCCTACAATGAGCTCAGCAGATGCGCAGTTCCACCAGGCGTTTGCTAATTACTGCTGGCTAGTCTGAAGGAGCTGAGTGGGGGACTAGAAGGAGAGGGTTGCTATGGGAAGCAGAAGTTTGGACGTTTGGAAGCCTGAAACTGCGGCTCTGAGGAGGGGCTTCATCCTTGATGGTCCACCAAGACGTTTTGCACAGCTGAATGGTTGCCACTGGAAATTAAAGGATTTCTCAAACATGCAAAAAAAAAGAACCAAAGCAACACTTCAAGGATGTTTTGATGAGGAAATAACATTATAACATTATATGATGTAAAGCTCAAAAAAGTAAAGTTCACATAATGCTATCTGGGTTTTTGTTTGTTTGTTTGTTTGTTTGTTTGTTTGTTTGTTTTTGACGCAGCATGAATTACTAAGTGAAAATATTTGGTGTTGTACGTTTTATTTCAAAGTTTCGGAGCAGAAATCAAATCTCACACTGTCTTACTTCACCGCCTGTGTCGCCCTCACGATGGAGTCCCCCGCGCCCCCTCCTCCTCCTGGACGAGACGACGTAGTGCCTCGGGGTTTCCTCGTCACGGCCGCAGGCGGGAGGAGAAGGGGCAGGAAGAGCTCGCGCGCCGCGCACAAACACAGCTGCGTGCTGCCTCGCGCTCGGCGCTCACGCGCAGCCTCCTCCACCGTCATGTTTATCGGGATGCGGGCGGAGAACCGGAGCAGCTCGGAGGTCCTGGATGCTGCGGCGCTGAGGCAGCAGAGGAGGTTGAAACAAGCCATCCAGTTCCTGCACAGAGATTCAGCCGACCTGCTGCCATTGGATGGGCTGAAGAAACTCGGGACATCCAAACAGGGAGTGAGCGTCTTTTTATAGGCCTCCGGTTATACGGAGCACCTTACAATGACTGCAATATTTATCACAACTGACTGATTATCGTTGTTCGTATACATTTGGGGTTGTTACGTAATCAGTCTGATAATAATGTAATAATCTACATTATTATGGCAAAAATAATGTAGAGTATTAAAAATAATGTAGATTGCTTTTGCCTAATCTACATGGGAAAAATATTTTTAGTTATATGGGTGCATGTTATTTTAACCAACACTCTCTAAAGTCTTTTCAACGTAACAATAAGCTAAAGAGACACTTTTTAACATTTCTGATATTGCGATTTATTTGAATTTGAGCTGTGTTTTGTTTCTGCTGCAGCAGCCGCACAACATTCTCCAGAAGAGGCTGCTGGAGGCCAAGCTGTCCCAGGGCAGGATCGACACACAGGGGGTGACCCCGAACAGCAGAGGGCGGCAGCCGAGCTGTTGGCGGTTTTCAAACGACGACGACACGGAAGAGGCCGAAGAAGACCTGATCTATGTGGCCTGTAAAGTGGGTGGAGTCTGAACTGAATCTTTAAAAGAATGCAACTATTCACACTCCTTTAGTGTTTTTCCCTGACATTTTGTCACTTAGCAAAATGTTGAAGGCATTTTATTGGGATTTAAGGTGTCCAAACACGTAGTGGAAGGAAAATGAAGGAAAACCACGACGGACCGTGGGCTGCACAGTGGACCAGTTGGAAAGGTTCTGAGTTTGAATCCTAGCATGGGGTCTTAATGGAGGGTTCTCTCGGGGTACCCTGGCTTCCTGGTACAGTCCAAAAAACATGACTGGTTGATTAACCAGTAACTTGAAATGGCCTGTAGGTATAAATGTGTGTGTGTGTGTTAGTCTTTTGAGTTGCTTTGTGATGGACAGGAGATCATCGCCCAACCCAAATAAAATACCTTGAAGTTTGTAGTTGTAACGAGACAAAATGTGGAAAGGTTCCAGGGGTATGAATCCTTTTGCCTGTGATTGTAGCATAAACGAATCCTATTTTCATTATTATACATATTAACTGTTGACCTTTTTCTGCTCCTGTTGCTGCAGTTATTATTTTCCTCCCTCTAGCCGCCTTCTTGTCCTTGTTGTTACAGTGTTTCGGAAAGGAAGTCCCAGTGCTGATTGACACAGGCTGTAGCATGAATCTGATGTCTTCATCAACTGTGGATAGCTTAGGGTGAGTAGAATTCAAAAAACCCATTGGGATCAAGGAACAAGTTAAAACACTTGCATACATTTTCTTCCTTCTGAAGACTGAAAGTGCTTGTCGAGGAGAACAAAATGGACCCAGGTGGGTTTCCGTTTCAACGTAGACTTTGCAGTGACGGACGCATCAGGGAGCTCAGCCTGAACATTGGAGGACTTCGAATAATGTCTTCATTTTTTATAGTGGGTGAGGAAAAGAACAATTTAGTGAAAAGTGAAAACATAATAGTGTTTGTCATAAAATTGTTGTCTACTCTATATATTTTCAGAGAGCACCAAGCAACTCTTATCTCTGGGCAGCAAGACTTTAAAATCATTCAAGGTAAATCACTATTACTTGCTATTGATATTCCTCACTCTAGTGCTGTTGGTATAATGACTTACCTACACCTATACAACATCCTATGTATTTGTTGGCACCCTTGGTATGCATATTTTCCATATGATCTAAGTCTGTACCATTGAGTGTAGCACTCAATGGTACAAGTCAATTCAATAAATTAATGCACATAAATCATTGTTATGACATATTTTCTTATGTGTACTGTGATCTGTGTTGCAGTGCGTAATTGATACTGATAAGCAGATGTTGGTGTTTGGGACGACCACAAGGGAGCAAGTTGAATTTGTTAAAAAGCCACCAAGTGAAAGGTCAGACTGACATTTTATGTCTTCGTTGTTTTTGCCAAGACTCTTAACAGACTTCTGAACTCAATCTGTTCATTTTTATAGTTACTGTGAACAGATGAATGACTGCAATAGCTCTCAAAATCCACAGCGCACGATTCAACTAGTTGTTGGATACAGTTGTATTTCCTTGTAGAAGAGAAAAGTAGATTTTTAAACTGACAAAACAAAAAAGTTTTAACTGAGTTTTCATCAAAACTCAGTTTATACACTTTAGTTTGTTCAGTTTGTTTTTATTTATAGGTAAATAAAAATGTAGTAATAAAGCAAGAGAAACAAATTTGCTGCAAATCATATTAACTACATTTTATGTACTTGTCCTTTTCTTCCAGTGTCCTGGATTACTGATCTTCCTGGCTCAACACAGACACACATGCACATGAAAAAGCAGTACTTATATCGTTTGATGACAACAATGTGTCCGCTAAAAGTACATAATCAGCATTGAAATTTGTCTTTACAGGCAACTTTTATTGAGTTTTTCCTGGGAAAACAGTAAAACAAGAAAAAGTAAAGTTGGGTATTTAGTAAAGTTGCTGTCAAACTTAAATACTAGCACCAAAATAAATGCTAATAACACCTTCTGGAACTAAGTCAAAGTATACGCCCTATCTACACTCTAGTCAACTTCAACAGCCCGGTGTCACTACAGAGAACTTAAAGTGGCATAAAGGACTCACTCCCACTTTGCTGCTTATTTATTGTGAAGAAGAGACAGATAATTTCATAAAGACACTACTGTTTACACATGAAGCACATCTTATGTAGCTCTGGCCCTTGGGTTGGCCTGATGTGTGTCTTGTACAAGTTGTTCTCTACTGTATGTTCAATGCTGGCAGATGCAAGAAGGTGTAGTGATGTTGTTTTTGTAATTCTTATGCAGATGTGATTTATACCTTGTGTTATATAAATAGGTGTTTTTTTTCTTCTTTTTTTTGTCAAAACCAATGTTCTATAGTCATTGTTTATTACTTAGCACAATGTGTTGTGTACAGATTAGGTAGACAATTGTGGTTAAAAGCATTGTGACTGACGGACATATTGTTTTTCTCAACGTCTGCAGCTTTATTGAGATGGGCTGGGTTTCTACTTAATGTTTTGACATTAAGTCAAACATTAAGTGAACTTTGGTTCGCCAATAAGCATTTTATGAATTGTAAGAAAAACACTGGGCTTCTTAAAAGTATTGAAAATAATGAAATCAGAATTAACATTATTGGTCGAGATTCTATGCACAAACAAGCACAAACAAGCAATGTGACTTCAGTTTCAAGCACAAACTATTTAACCTTTCGAGGACATGAAACAGAAATTTACTTAATCTCACCTGATCGGTCTTCAAAGGAATGAAGAATCAACACACTTTATAAGCAGAAATAGAAATGTTTGTGGGGAAATGAGGGATTTCTGTCAATCTGAAGACTTTTGATCACGACTGTAAATCTTTTATATTTTATAATGTGGTAAAGTATTTTTTTAGTCTAGGTTGTATTTGTATTGTGTTCACTACCTACTAATCTTTACAAAAGGTATGCTGTAACACATGGCTGCAGCCAAAGTACAGTAAGGATCAAATAAAAATAAATCTATACCAGATTTTCTATGTTTTTGTGTGAATTCTTTTTAAAGGAATGTTTTATAATAATTTAGAATATGTGTTCCAATGAGGCCTGTTTGTCATATAAAAATGGATAAAAATACCTTTAATTAAGCCAATTTTTACATATTAAAAATACTTTTCATTGGTTTTTTGTAATACTTTAATCTTAAATGTTGAGCCTTTATTGAATGAAAGCATAAAATCACCATAATTAACAGAAATACTCTTGAAAACATCAGTCTGTAAATGTTACACTTCTAAGGAGTAATGCTGAAACTTTACAGAGGTGCAAAAGCTCCAGCATGGGTTACTCCACTGCATGTTGGATTGGTTACCATGGTGAACAGTGTAGTTTGGTAACACACCCCTGTCTGCTGACTGACGAGTGAACAGCCAATACTGGGCAGTTCTCCAAGGAAACCAGCGTCAACAGAGAGATGAACCTGCAGTCTGATTGGAAACAACACAAGCTTGGGCAAAGTACTTTCTAGGGTAGTCTTGTTTGTTTTTTTTTGTTTTTTTTTTCAGATTTAACAAGTTTTTTTCCATTTCAACGTGATAGATTGACATGGACAAAATCAAGTTAGAGGTCGATCTGGTCCAGGTGCTTACTGGTAACCCGGGATGCAACGTCACTTACGTTCTGAACGTCTCTGAGAGGGCAAGAGCTGTTCTGGGATCAGTGAAACGCCTGCTAATCCAGACTCTGCTGGCTAAAGCTTCTCTGGGAGACTCTCTGTTTAACATGGTCGGATTCTCAAACACGGTGAGGATACCCTGAAAATCTACAAAAAACATGGAATGATGCTGTTAGATTATGTGTTTTGATGTTCTGAGTGGATACATCTGTACAATAGTGCCGTACACTTCCATGTCAGAAGGTTAAACATTGTTCCATTATTCTAAAAGTAACATGAAAAAGAAAGATTGCAATTTGTAAATGTACTTCCCAATGAAGGGCTTAGTATTTGTGACATGACCCATATTTGGATGAAACTAAAACTGAAGTGTGTCATAGTGAACACTGTTACATTTGAAGGACAGAGTGTGAAGGGTATACAACATGTAAACACCATCCCAACTCTGAAGTTAGCATGTGAAGTTTTGCTGAAGGAGGGACTGGTGAACTTCACAATATGGGATCATGAGAAAAGTACTTTATATATAAACATTGAAGCAAAAATTGAAGACAAAAGCTGGGAATATTTCGACAAATATGGGTCTTCCAAATGAACATTAACTCTAAGCATAATGCCAAATTAATTACTAACTGACTTAAGGAGAACAAAGTCAATATTTTGGTGTGACCATCACAAAACCCTTATCTTGGTGCCATAGAAAGTCTTTGGGCAGAGTTGAAAAAGGTGTGATGAAGGCGATCTGCAACTCTAACTGAGCTACTCCAGTTTGTTCCAACAAACTATTGTGGAAAGCTTGTAGAAGGAGACCTTGAACCTGTGACCCAGTCATACTGTAAGGCAGTTCTACCAAACATTAAGGAAATGTATGTAAACTTCTGACTTAAAGAAATAAATAAAGAAAAATTTGCTCAATCTGGTATTTAGTAAATATGAAACATGTTGGTTATCAATTGTGTTGACTCTTAAAAATTTTAATGTTTGGCGTATGTAATGCACCAGTTTGATGCTTTGAAGATTACCAGAAATTGCCTGCGGTGTAAACAACCATCCTCTGCTGCAAAGAAAGACGTGCCGAGCCGAAATACACTCTGCTAAAACTACAGGCAGGCTATAATTCTAAAACAGAGCAGAAAATCAACGTAATCTTTCACCACTTCTTGTGTTTGCCAATTGGCCAGGATTAGATTCTACTGGAGGAATCAAACTCAATGCGAGAAAGCCCAGAAGGAGCACTGAAGTAAGATGAGAATGAGCGGAACTGCATAGGAAGGCAAGCTACAACTGACCAGAAACATAAAAAGTTTAGTTTGATTTATTGTCAGTAATAAAAGGTTATGTGTCATTTTATATAGCGTATGTCAGTATTTAGTATAATCTGGTGACACACCTGTGTGAAATACGCTAAAACCATTGGAGGTTGTATGTTGCATTACCACAAGGATCCCCAAGATATCCTTTGATTTCCGCTTGTTATATTTATTACATAAGTTCATTCCTCTGTTTTTATCCTTTCCAGGTGCACTGCTGGTCCTTGCACATGCTTCCCTGTCTTCCTAACACCGTTTTCACAGCTTTTCCTTGGGTTCACTCCGTCAGCTGCAGCCTCGGCAGACACCTACTAGCTGCCTTGAAAGCGGCTCTCTCTGACCCGGCGTGCCACACCGTTCACCTGCTCTGCACTGACCTCCCGGAGCAGCCGGGGCTCTTACTCAGATTCCTGTCAGCCCTGGAGACCTGCAGGCCCATAAATGTTTTTTACCTTCAAGGACCCAGCAGTGGGTTGGAGAGGTCCGCCAGAGACTACCTGCTGTGTCTGAGCCAGGCCACCAGAGGGAGCTGCTACCTGATCATGTTTGATTTGGAGGGCAATTTAGAGAAGGTGGGGAAGTTTTTTTTGTCGGTACAAAGCGCAAACGAATAAAGAAGTCCTCTTCTGGAATGATTACACCACTATAACTGCTTCTGTGAATTCTGGCAGGTGATTCCTATTCACATCGTTGACAGCCAGCCTTCGACTCCAGCATCACAAACCAAATGCTCTCATAGCGCCTCCACCATTAAATACCAGCCAACTTCACCAGCACTCAGGTTGGTTTGCATGGGTTACAGTTTTAAGAAAGTGCATCTGCAAACACTTGATTGTGTTTTGTTGTTGTTGTTGTTGTTGTTTCCATCTTCTTGTAGGTGCAGGCCAAGTGTTGGTGAGTTTTCATCAGGCTCCTGTGTGCTGTGTGGTCCAGCGGTGGCCGGGTCGGAGTTCTTCCCAAGCCACAGGGTGTTGGCCAGGAGACAGGCGGACGGCCTTTTCTACCCAGGCTCTGTGATCCAGGAAGTTCAGGTGGACTCATGCTAGTATTTGAATAATAAGGCAATAATAATACAAGTAAAGAAAAAAAATACTTTTCAATATTTTCTGAATTTCAAAAGTCGAACATTTTCGACTTTTGCAGCAATGAAATTTCAAAGTGTTTTCTAGAAAATTTCTGGAATTAAAAATTTTTTTGTTTATTTTTGGTGGAAATTTACTCCTCCTGTTTTCTATCAACAATGGGCCGAATAAGCCTTCAGAACAACTATAAAGTGGAAAATTGTTCAGCTGTGTATATGCTCAGCTAATATACACAGCGTGCTCATGTCTGAGTATATTAGTCTGTTATAGAAGTCTCCAGTCTACTGGGATTATATTTTGATTGAAATTTTCTTCCCACATGCAAACTCAGGACTGCAAGGGACTTTGGGTAGTTGAGTTTGACCGTGGAGGCAGTGCTGCCTCCTCCCAGCGTGAACTGGTTTGCTCACTCGACCTGGTCGTGGACAGCAGAGGTCATAACCACCGGCTGGTACCTGGGGATTTTGTCCTGTCGCCATGGGAATCAGATCTGAGGAGATACGGTCCGGGTCGAGTGGTGGCAGTCGCACCTCACAGAGGTACCTTAAAACATCATACACACTTTTAGTTTCGTATTTGTTCTTCTCGATGGATTGCTTCTTCTTTCAGACAGTTTCTACTCAACTAATTGCACATCTAGCAGTAATAATGTCCAAAAATTACATTTTTCACATAGGAACAGGTTAGGAAAAAGGAAAAACAATAACTGTGAAATGAAAATGTGGTGAAGAAGCATTGTGATCATCCTAGGACATCATTTTGCTTTGTTTTTTTTTTCCTGCAGCCGATGTCGTGGCCGACCTCCAGGTGCTGATGTGGAACAGCTCTGTGTCTCTGGTTCCTGACAGCCTGGTTTTGCCAGTTTCACTATATCATTACTTCAGACTTGTGAGGCAGCTCCAGATTCCAGCCCCAGTTTTTGGACGATGCTGCAGCCGGGTCTGCGGCAAGTCTCCATGTCCTCTCCGGAGGCCTTACACACACTGCTGCCAGTCCACACACACCCAGCTGCCATGCGTGGTTCCCACCAGCTGTAGGTCCGGCCTGGAAGAGCCGTGTCACTTTAACAGGGATGAATTTGTCAGGAATGGACACTCTGAGACACCGTCCCCACCACCGACATCGCCAACCATACAGGAAAACACTTCAAACTCCCCCGAAGCAAAGCTTTGGAGCAATCGACGACGTCCTCCTTGGAGGTACTGGAGGAGAACTGGACCAGAACCACAACACAAACAACCAGGTCAGAAACAGACACTGTTTGCTGCTGAAATATGGCCCCACCAATCCATCTGAATAAAAGCTGCTTCATTAGTATTAGCTCATCACTAACAGCTACAATTGAAGCTAGAAGTTTACTTGCACTGAAGTTAAATAAGTCTATGCTTCTCTTGTTTTAGGCCAGTCAGAGTGACCAAGATTTTTTCTGTTTGCTAAATTCAACAACGAGAGAAAGAGTATGTCAGATATTGATTTTATTAATGTCTTCACAAATAGTGTTTGAATACATTTCCTGAGTATTTTGGTAGCGATGCCTTTGCTACCAAAGGCATTGGTCTTCAGAAAGTCCTTGACTTTTGTCCTGGTGCCTTTTTCCACATTTGGAACCCTGAGCGGTATGATGGATGACGTTGTCATCATGTCTGTACTTCTGTATAATTGTTTGAACGAGGCGCCTTCAAGCATCTGGAAATCGATCCCACGGATGAACCAGACTGGTGGAGCCACAATTCTCTTCCTGACTCTTGGCTGATTTCTTTTCATGTCAAACCAGAAAGTAGCGAGTTCCAGGGATTCCTCCAATCAACTCAATATGACAGTCAACCTATCAGAAGTTTCCATTATCATCTGGGCTTCCCCTCATTGTTCTTAAGAGAGTAATTATTCTGTATGTAAATTTCACATTTTGAATACATTAATAAAAATAAAAAATCTCTGACATTATTTCTCTCATTATTGTGGGATTTAGCAAATAGAAATAATTTTGGTAATCCTAATTTGATCTGATATAACTTCAAGTTGTGAAAGAAGGGGGTCTTTTGTAAACCTCTACTTTCAACTGCATGTAGTATTTGAGATTATACATTTGCACAAAATAAAATTAAGAGTTGTGGAAAGCTACATATTAAATGTTACATGTATCTTTATTCCCAGGGAGTGAAGTGAACAGGACGATGTCACAACCCTCCAGCCTCCCTGTCCCACAGATCAGCAGCTCACCAAACCACAGCTCCCTGTTTCAGTCGCTTCCTGATGTCAACGCAAAAAACATGAACATCAGAGATGTTTTCGGAACGGCCAGCTTCAAGCCTCGACCACCTGCACAGCGCCAGTCCTTCTCTGCTGGCAAAGCCGCTCTGATCCCTACGTGATAATGGTATAAATGTGTGAAAAGATATTAAGTTTACTCTTTTATTGCAGCAGCATAATCTCACACTGATTAACGGATTCAGATGGAGGAAAAAGAGATGTTAATTGGTTCAGAATAAAATTTGTTTCGCCAGTTAATTGCATCCCTAACAATTCCTATAAAAGTAAGGGAAGTAATTTAAAATTATATTTACTCTTTAAAATTGACTAGCTTAACTTTATTGGTTAAAAAATACTATTTCCTTATAGACATAAATATGATGTGACCCAGAGGCCCATTTCTATTAGCTGTTGTTCAAAATAGTAAAGATTAGAGATTTCGCTTCATTTTTACTAATCATTATAATTGAGGGATTTTTAAAAAAGACAGCTGCTCATTAATTTAGACGATACCAACTTGCCATCTGGTTGTTTGGGAGTAATGCTAGCAACAGAGGCTTTGTGCTTTAGTCAAATGAAATAAAAACTGAGCTTTTCTGTATTGTAAGTCTGGATGGAAGACTGGTGGAAAACAATTATTGATATGTGAGGAAGTATGTGATTATCTCCCTTTGGTAGGGCTGCATCGATCCACTGCTTTCCACTTCCGATACCGATATCTGCGTTTTAGTAATGGTCGATACCGATCCGATACAGAAAAGGTACTGAACTGACTTAAAACATTTCTTTTTTTTAACACGGACAAAAATCTCCTGGATTACAAATGTATTTGTAACTCTGTGTCAGTACAGCACGCTTAAATACACCAATAGCTTCACAAGCTTGGTCAAACATGTAAAATATAATTGACAAACCTTTCAAATGGTTCAGAAAATGACATTAGGAATTCTAAATATAATATAAATTAAATAATAAAGCATGATGCCGCTCAGAACCCTAAGCATAGAAATAGACTGAATAGATCTGCCCTTACTGATGGGGCACATCATCACCAAGACCTGAGCTAGAAATTTTTTTCCAATATTGGGACTGATGCATATATAGATATCGGATTAGTGCATCACTACCGTTTAGAGTCATGCATGATATGTTTCTACATTGTTAAAATGTTCTAGCCCATTTTAATTATAAAACAGGGGTCTTGATTGGAAAAATGAGGATAATACTCAAAAACATCAGGTGAAATCGAAATATTTCATCAGGCTCAAAATGTTTTTCTATGGCCAAAAAAGGCCCAGATTTTAAGCCTTTACAAGAAACATCACTGAATGTAGAATGAGCTGGATGATTGTTATCTTGGTAAAACACAGAAAATTGTGAAAAAATATATATTTTATTGTAAAAAAAAAAAAAAGCGCAGTAGCATCGCAGGTTATAAAATCCACAAATATTTACATAATGTTGGGTAAAATTCTGCTAATCAAGTATAAAATGTCCAATAATATGGCTTTTCTCCATGATTTAAAAAAAGCAATCCATTTTGAAAGCAAAGCATAAGACTTTAAAAAAAGGCAAGAAGGACACGCACACACACATACACACACGTAGCCTTAGCATTGGTCAATTCTGTTATTGAAGCTCAGGATGGCCAGGTCAGCTCGACCAAGATGTCAGAAGTTAAAGGTGAGGACGACGCTCTCTCCAGGTTGAATGCTGACCAGGTGAGTCTGTGGCTGTGAATCTGGGACACTGGCAGAGACGGAGTACATTCCAGGTGACACCTCGATGTAAAAGTCTTCATCCCTAGCCAAGACGGGGTTCTGCGGGAAACGCTACGGAGTACATAAAACACTTTAGCATTAGCTATAGAACGTAGCTAATGCTTTAGCTTGAAGCTAAAACTCTTGGTTGCATTAAAACAGACATGTTCTGATCGTTACTGGTTCTCACAGGTTTTCTCCTGGGCTGTGTAGATGTCGACTGCCCAGGTCTTGGCCGCGTGTGGAACTTGGATATGTGCTCCTTCTCAACGGCGCTGTGCTCCCTGCAGCTGCCAGAGTCATAAAACTTCTAGAAAAAACAAAGAAAATAAATCACCGTCTTTTTTTGTTCTTTAGTCTCAACAGCATCTTTCAAAAATAATTCATACCCCTTGAACTTTTTCCACATCTTTTGATGTTAGGATCAGAAAATTTACTTTGTTTGTTAGCTGAAAACAGGTGTACTCAGCTAAAGCGACTAATCCGAATAATCGTGATGAATCCACCGTTGAAATGATCGTCAGCTAATTTAGAGCCTGGGGGCGTAGATTTAATATTCATACGCTTCAAATATAAAATTAAAAACAACTTTGTCAACATGTTTTACCCAAAACTCCTCAACTGACATTTTGTTTTTATATTCACCCGCTTCAAATTAACTACAGGAATTTTAAGCAATAGATTTTTTTAAAGGAGCTGAATTGTTAATTTTAATCTTTTAGCGTGTTTCTCTTGTATAGAAAAGGCTTAAGTAGTTTCATGAAAACCCTGCAGAATGTGACAATTTTCCTTATCCGAATAATCGATTAATCGTCAGAATAATTGGGCCTGTCACAGTAACAAATTTTGCTGGACAATAAATTAATCAATTATTTATTGGGGAAAAAAAACTACAATATTGTTGAGTTGAGATAATTTTCAAGTAATATAATAGTAATGGCATAATAATTCAAGAACACATTATCAAAGATGAATAAACTTTAAATCCATCTGAACATTTAACAATCCAACAGAAGACTTTTTAAATATCCAAAATAAAACAAACAAAACAACAAATAAAATGAATTATGAAATCTCTCTAAACAAAACGGTCCTTTGAAAAGGAATCGTGCAATTAACTGACTTAATGTGACCGGTCTAAGAATAATCGATTAATCGATTACTAAGACAACTGGTGCTGTACATCTATATGATCTCAATAAAATGTGGTTGTTGCATGACGTCATGAGGAACACTTGCATTAATTGCACTGCAGTGTATGTACAACAAAAGTTAAGAGATCCTCTCTGACCTGGCAGTGGTGGCTCGTCTGTGCCATGAACGATTTGATATTTGCAAAGGCATCACGAAGTTCCGACTGGGTATTCTGAAAGGTGCAGAATGAAACGAAAGCGTATTTGTTTAACACGATGCGATGAGGCGCACAGTGGATGGACAGAACACAAACCGACAGCAGGTATAGAAGTGGGAACCCGATAAGAACGCGTTCCCACCTCAGTAGCGCCTTGGTCGGACGTTGCGGAGGTCTGGGATGCTCTGATGCTGGTCCAGTCAACGTTGCGCCTGGACGCTCGCTCCAGCACCTCCAAGCCAAGCCTGCTCGAGCGGCGCAGGGAAAACTCCAGCCAGGCCTGGCTTGCCATCAACGTGTTACCTGAAAGGTCAGAGGTCACATGTTGTATGACAAACTGGCTGAAAATTAACGCTGAAGGTCTTTCGTAATGATGTCTGACCGTTCCAGTCTGTCATTCGTTAAATTAGAATACATGTCGCGACGAGTAAACCAGCTGCAATGAGCAATTAATCAATTAATCATGGATAGATGTTTATGGAAACTTCATAATACGGTTTATTTATAGTTTGGGTTTTGAGGGTTTTTTTCCCCCTGTTTTATCATTTTTGGTTTATGAATTTTATATTGGATATTTAAATGTCTTCCAATCTGGCGTGTCCTTTACAAAATTTAAGTTTTTATGTCTTTAAGAGTGCAGACTTACATCCGTTTCAGTAAGCCTACATTCCTGTTTGTAAAACTTTATTTTATTGGTCTGAAGAATCATTCTAATTTTAAGTCCACATTTTCGTTAGCTCCTATCAGAAAATCCTCAAGATAAAAAAAAAAAAGTCCTCATTTTCAGACCTTATGTTTTAGCTGATTCCAGTAATGATTACACCTGGGATTACTTCATTTATGAAGGAAAAACTGACCCCAAAGGAGACATAAAGGCTTAACTCATGACACAGGACATAAGCTTTTGAATGCACAAATCTTGGGGACTGGATACAAGCTGTATGTAGACAGCTCTTCACTGACCTCTTCACTGACCTCCTTGAAAAGAGAATCTGGGCATATGGCACAATCAAAAACAAACAGAAAAGGGATCCAGAAGGACTCTGCCTATTTTGTCCAGTGGAGACACACCAGGGATGTCCGTCTGTGTTCTACTTTGAACATGGCACATGAGGGGACACAGCTGGCAGGAATGTCAAAGATAGAGATGCAAAATGGACAAGGAAAGAAGTTCAGGTTCCCCCAGCTGTAAAGGACTACAGTCTGTATGCATCATGTAAAATGTTTGGCTGTAATTTAATTTGTTCCTTAGGTTTTTTTCTTTTCCGTTTTAATTTTTCAGTTGCGTGGGAGGAGAGGATGTATCAGATGCGCTGAGTGGGTACTACCAAGTGCTCCACAAAACAAGAAAGTGGTACAAGACATTATTTCATCACTTTGTGGACGTTGCTGTGGTGAATGCAAGTTGACTGGACTCAGGCATCTCACACAGAAAGCTTTCTGGGAAACACTGGCAAGACCAGCTCATGGCTTTAGGCTCAATAAATTGGACTGCTCAGCCTAAAAGTTTTAATTGTTCCCTTTACAAAGACCTCAAACATTTGCATGCACTCTAAGTGGTTCAAGAGCATTTTAGGATTAATTTTGGGTATGCTTTAATCAGATGTTTTTGCATGTAGGGGGATGAGGATCAAAAAACGACGACTTAATTCACATTAAATCGTTATTTAGGTGCGCAGGTGACAAGCTAACTCTTTCAATAGATTAAACTGAGGCTTTAACTAGTAGCCTTACAGCATTAAAGGTTCAGAAACTCAAAATAAAAATACTGTTAATAAAAACACATATGTTCGCCTGCACGCGCCGCGGTTTCCTACCGTGTCGTCACAACAACTCTCCCGTCACCACGCCACTAATCTGCAGCAGGTCTAGTTTACATCGTCGGCGCCTTGCTGGTTCGGCCGGCACGGAACCTGCTTTATTTTAACTGAACCAGAACTTTGGAGAACCGACGCTTATCAGAGGTACTCACATTTTCCTTGACAACTGTCACTTTCTTTTCAAATGAAATGACAGGAAATCCTGCTCGTTAAACCCCGCCCCTTTCAGGAAGCACACAGATGAAACGTCACCGCGCTTCTTTGCTTAGAATAATAAATTAAATGTTTAAAAGGCTCAGTGGTATTATCTCTATTATAACTCTGAAAGTTGTATTTTTTAACATAAATTTAACTTATTATTCATGCAAAATTTTTCATTAACAAGTTTGCAAACTCGACTGAATAAATCCTTAAAATGAATAAAGAGCATCCTCTTTCTAATCACATTTCTTTGTAACCTTTTTTTATTTCTTAGATTTTTGTATAATTTATTTCCTTCCTAGATTTATTTCTGCATGTTTTCCATTCTTGTTCAACTAGAATT